CAAACCGGGTGTGATCTTTCTCCGCCCACGGCGCGGGTGGCCTGACATATGAAAAGGACGTATTTCTGCGGAAACGCGGCCTTACGGAGAGGTGTTCTGCGGAACTTTCGCAAAGTTCTGCGAAAGTGCTCTCAGGTGCACTGCGGGACGTCGTGCGGAATACCGCGGTACGCCCTGCGAAATACCGCAGAACGCCGTGCGTAAGATTGCGGAACGCCGTGCGTAAGATTGCGGAACGCCGTGCGTAAGATTGCGGAACGTCCTGCGGAATATTGCGGGACGTCCTGCGGAATATTGCGGGACGTCCTGCGGAATATCGCGGTACGTCCCGCAGAACTTGATGCGTATTTCGTGGCCTGTACTGTACCTGAAACGTCTGACCGTTTCCAAAATCATATCCAGTTGCTTAATGAGTAACTGTTTTTGGCATATTTTTTTACCTGGATGTCTCACCTTCACCTTTAGTACATCATCCTTCAAAATGTTTCAGTGAAGGTTATTAATTAGACATCCCGAGTTCTTGCTTACAATGTATAAACCTGCATTTCTGCACAAGTTCTCTAGTATCACTTGCGAAAGGTAGTGGATGCTACCTGAAACATCTGACTGTTTACAAAATCATATCCAGTTGCTTAATGAGTAACTGTTTTTGGCATATCTTTTTACCTGGATGTCTAACCTTCACCAACATACTAACTCAGCTGTGTGAACGTACTTAAAAAAATATTATAATTATGAAAGGATACAATAAGCTAATGACACAAATCTTACACATATCTGTGCACAAAAATCGATTGATATGCTGTCAATCAAAATGAATACAGTTCCTTCATGTCATGTTTATATAATTATTGTAGATCAATACATCCGAGATCAACGTATAGCCTAGTTCTGATGGGAATTTTCTTTTGATAGAATAAAAAAATTATTGCTGTTTTTTGCTTCTTATTTTTTCACATGATATTTGACCAGGACCTGGTGTATACTTGACAAATTCATATATAAGACTTATTACGACTCATCTTGGAAATTAAATTCGCGATGTAAATTCCTTTTTCTTAAAGGAATCTACATACTAAAACATAGGTCCTCTGACCCTAGACTAGTAACCCAGTTATGTCTGGTAACATAAATATTGCTGTGCAGTACAGATTAGTATATAAAGTGACAGGTTGAGTCTGGCTTGGGCCAATCATATATATATCCAGTTTGAACAAATTAAAAAATATGCTGCACCTTAGTAGTATTTTTGGAAGTGACACAACGTAGCATGCATATTATGGTACAATTTGTATATATTATGGTACAATGTACAAACTAGGCTAGTAAGCAACTACACTCAAATTGATGCTATATACATTTGTAAAAGGGTACAAAGTCTGAATCGAAATGCATCTAGTAGGTCAAACTCCAACAAGACTTAAATTTTTCACACTTGTGTCTTGAAAAACATTGATGAATTTTATCATTGTTGTCTTTGACTACAATATTACTCGTAACTGCGTCCAAGAATTTTGTGAAAAGAGTTTGTGGGGTCTAGGTCTTCTGATACTGGCAACTAAGCAATGTCATACAGGACTAAGTACCGGTAAAACCAAAAGTAAATATTACTGTATGGTGGAGTGGTCCAAATTAACTTGTTGGGACTTGAATATGTCCAATGTAATCTTGTTTCAAGAAGTACAACAAAGCACTTGGGCGTATATACATGTTACATACTTGTTATTAGTGTGCTAGCAAGCATCTGTCTTTTTGTCTTTTGGCAGAATTTTGCGTGTAAAAATATGGCAAGAGATGTCATTAAACTAAGCTTAAATTCTACCACCAAAGTTTCCCCTCAAAATGCAGGAATTGCGTTTCAGAGGGTCAAGATTTCAGATTTTCCAAGGGGACATGCCCCCCCCCCGGACCCCCCTAGGATTGTCACACCTCTGCATGATGTTACGTCAAACAAAACTGAGATGACGCAAAAATTTCAGCTGGCTAGAACCCTGTACGTAATAACACACAAGTTTGACGTGTACAACATAGCAATGTTGACATAATCTAATATGTAAACTTAGCATTTGCCTGGTAAGATCAATCAAGCATGTGTGTAGTCCAGTGGTTAGAGGCCCAGTGCCACTGGACCAAGAGGTTGGGAGTTTGAATCCCAGCTGTAACATGATCGCTTACTAGTTAGTATGCACCCGACAAGTAATATTTTATTGATACTGGAATTATATATACTAATATAAGTCACATGCGCAGAACTTCTGACGGAACATTAAGCCGTGGGGTTACTGTTCATTGTGCTTGTCAAAAAGAGAACCAAAGAATACAATGAACCTGTAACATAGCGTCTGTCTTCTCTGTCAACCAGTGGGAGATTAGATCTTCAGGGAGCTAAAACTGGATCAAGATCACTTTCCTTTCCATTCCTTTGCTCCAACTTGCTTCATGCTAATTCAAGGTGGGAATGAGAGAGGAGAGAGCAGTAATGTATACAACTTTGAAATACCTGTAATTACCTTTGGCGTGTCTGCCATTAAGGTGTTTACAACATGCAATTCAATCTGTCTGCATACTTGTCTTAAGAAAACTACAACAAAGTAGACTTGCAATGCAAAGACTACTT